ACACACTCTTTCCACTGCTTTGTGTAAATTCATGTATAGTTAGAACTCTCTTCTTTTTTTTCTACTTTTTCTCTTTCTCGTTGTTGTATATTTAGTAGAATAAGTGTGAATAAAAGAATGAATGAATGAATGAATGGAAATACAATATTTATACAATAAAGGTGAAAAAAAAAATTAACGACATCCATCCACTTTTATACCTTGTCCCTTTTTTAAAATCAATCTTTTTTCCTCAATGATTCTGTTCTATGATAACCCACGATAACCCAGCGTATAGAAGGCTTTTTGATCAAGTACAGTGTCAAAAAACCAAAACTAAAGTTATCACAACAACCAATCAGAGCAAGGGGAATATCACAAGGAGCCAATGAGAAGGCAAAGTTAAAACGAATAAACTGCGCAATGATAAAGCGCGGGAAAATGCGAGTGACCAACATGCAATTGGTTTAAGGTTTGCATCTGAGTGGTCGAGAGAGTGGCGCGTGTTTTCTGGATCAATCACAGAGCGATGTAAAGCAAAGTATCCCGGGATTACTTCCTTCACTCATTTGAAAATTAATCTTTAGAAAATAACTTTCTTACCCGCAATCTACATCCTGGACTTGATACAAGCTCTTAAAGAAATGTGACTCGTACTCCCGAAGAGCGCAGTAATATTCCAAGAAAGTACACTTTCCAACGTTTGGAAGGGCCGCATCAATTTGTGGCAGACGACCTGTAAATTAGTTTTTTAGTCAAATTACACAATGAAACTATAATCTTTGATTAATCTACCTGTGTGCGCAAAGCAATAATCATAAATGGACAAAAAAAGTTTGCCCTTTTTCTGCAATTCACAGTTTTTATTGCTGTTAGTCAACTTTTGTCAAAATCTCCCTCTGTGCAACAGTTAACGTATATTCCAATTAGTTTTTGATCCATTCGTATTACAGTAGATACATTTCTGCGTTACGCGAAAGCCCAAAGGGCGGTTTATTTACACCAGGTCAACCCAAACCGCGCCTTTACGCAAACAGTGAGCCTCAGGGAATCTCCATAAGTAATAGAAGTAATAATAGTAATAGTAATCAAAATCTAATGTCTTTACGTGAGGCATGGTTACCTAGATTGCCCGAGCCAGAGGCTCATGTATGAAACGCAAGACAACAACCCACCCATCCTACCCCAGGGGAGGACATCCATCACAGTAATCTCGTGCGTGGGAAATTAACGTCTCCTGCCCCTAACCCTGCAGGAGACGGGACCTCCATTTATTCGTCCCTATCCGAGAAGACTAGAATATCTAAACCATTTCTTGATGTTATGGAAAGGCAGCATATTCTTCTCAATTATTTTAAGACCTTGAGTGTTGGTCCGGTCGGGGCTCGAACCCTCGACCTCCCGCACATCAGTCCTGCGCTCTATCCATTGAGCTAACCGTGGGTTGATTTAATTATTACGTAAATGTCCTCTCAATATTAGCTTTCAGCCCTCCTATCACTGTTCACAAAAAGGGATATTCAGATAAATGTTTGGCTTAATCAAAGATGGCTTAGAACGCGGTTTTGATTAACTACGGCCAAACTTTAATTTAAATTGTTTGAATAACCGTCCCAAAAGGGTTATACGTTATCAACAAAACACCAGAGAAAGGTCACGTTAACTTCCCACGGTTGACAGTTGGAGATTTTTGATAGCTTAGTCAAGCAAAGCAAAGTAAAGCAATAATCCTCGCAACTAAGCTTCAACTTTCGCAGTTTCAGAAAGAAGCCTGAAAAAATTCAGGCTTCGACAAGATTCGAAACCTGTGTCTCCCAGATACTAGTTGGGCGCTACTACTCTCTGAGCCGTGAGGCCACCTTGACGCGTTGGGAGCGGGGCAAATTTGAGAGGGTTGTTCTATCCCGTGGAGGAATCTGATCACAATTCTTTAACGACGTAGATTTTATTTGACCTGCGGATCGAAAATAAAGTGAAGCAAAGATCTTCGCAAGTGAGCTGTAATTTTAGCGGAATAGCAGTGAGTACGGCTTCGGATCCTATCGAATTTCTCTGGTATTTCCTCGACAAATGACAACGTCAATAGTCGGTATCAAAGTTTAACTCGCAGCTGACCGCAACTTTCAGTAGCTCATCATAACGGAACGTCTAAATGCAATATTTAAAGCTGTTTACTTGTAGGCAGACCACAGCACTGTGACAAAGCAGTTGAATAGCTCCGAATCTTCTATTTGAGGTCCGTCTTAAAAACTTGCCTCTTCAATGTTGAGAGCCAGTCGTCATCCCCAGAATCTCAAAGTAATGACTCGATCGCCCTTAATGATGTTGTCGATAATTTCTTATATTTTTGCTATCTGACTACTTAATCCTGAACGGTATGGTATATTTAAGATCGTAACTGTCAACACCTGAGTTTCAATTTCAAGTCAGAGTGAACACTTCTTAAACTGTCTGCAATCTCTGAGCAAAACATTGTTTCAGCAGAGCATTTCATCGGCTACGAAATTCGATCGGTTCATGAGTAAAGATGGGAGCTAATGTGTTATGATAAAATACGATTTAACTTACCGAAAGCGACAGTTATTGCCAATACAAGCAGGATCATTGAGCCGGAGTTTGAATCCTAACCAAAGAAACGAAATATGATGCGAAAGACTAACGTGTCCCAGTGGAGGAATGCAAGATTTCTGCTCTTTCCAGTTGCCACCTAATTTACTTAAAGAAGCAGAACCGAAAAATCTTCTTTGGTATAGGGTACTTCCCTTCAAGTTATACAAGTTTCCAGTGGCCCAAATGCCTGTTTGAAGAAAGGCCAACGACTCCTAGAAGAAGTTGTTGTTTTCGTTGCCAGGGTTCAAATTACCTCACAGTGCATTGTGGATGAAGTCACTCTTTCGATAATTTCAGTATTTTGTTACACCCGACCCGTCTACCTTGGTAGTTACAATAGTTAGGCCGCGAGATCTCGTAATTATCCCTTTGTAAGATTTATGAAGGCATCTTCGTAAAGAATTAGGCCGAGAGGTCTGAAGTTTCAAGGGTTGGCGAGCGTGCCCTCGTACCAAGCGCACCACATACGTGGTAATGGCTCGATTGGGAATTTTCATGTTGCTGATCGTTTCATTATGCGAGCTTTCGTGGTTGAATGACGTCTCAGCTTGGCTAGACGGAACGAAATTAAGCCAAGCACTAACTAGACTGACTACAGATGGACTTCGCATCCCTGAAATACAGGTATTTAAGTACCCTTTCTTACGTTGAGCTTTGATAGTAAGTGCTGGTCGGTGAAGGAGCTTAGGTTGAGCAGCTCATGCGACTGCTCTGATTAGCTCCGATTCGAGACCTATTTTCAGTCAGCGTGATGTGGGTATTCATCAAATCTGTCTTAAACCATGAAGATTTAATTTCTAATTTTCTCTAGAATTATACATGTTAATGAAGTTGCTCATTAACAATTATGAAAAGAGGATTGACGGTGTAAATTAGTGAAGGAGCTGAGTATCATATTGCGCTTTTAAGAAAAAGAAGATCTAACCAGTAATATCAAGGATTTAAATCGCTGCACCAACGAATGGTAGATAAAGCGCCATTCCTTACCCTGTGGTTCTAACCTTCTAAAATTTATTTATCTGTGATGGGTCGTTAGGGCCGTCATATGTTAGTAGCCCTACAGACCATGGCGTTACCTTAGCGACCGCCATCTTGGATTCTCAGGATATCAAGATTTGCGCGGCAAACCCGCGCAATACATATCATGACAAATCCATACCTTACTCCCAAAAGTGTCCAAGGATTACATAACCAAGCAATAAAAACGGCTTAAGCTACTAAATCAAACTCAAAATAAGAAATCGAATGAAATAAAAGTAATATATTTAGAAAGAAAGAGAGAGAGAGCTCCTATTTATAAAAAATTAAAAACAAGACTGAACCGAGATCGAGATTAAAGAGCAAAGTAGGGAGAGAATGAGAGAATGAGAGAAGACTTGACACTTCTATGTTGACTTGCGTGTAGAAAGGTGAGCGGCTATCAGATCTAAGATAATGCATAACCTTTATTTATTTTTCTTTCCTTTCCTTCTTTTAACTAATATCTTACATAACAGATGATGTTATGTATTCTATCAATTTTCCGCTTACGATATTTTCGCATCATCATCTTTAAACCTCCGTAAATTCTGACAGTGTGCATATTTTTAAGGGTCAAATTGATAAGCTTGAGTTCCACGAGGAGTCGGTGAGTGGAGCATCAATTATCCTCTCATTAACTTCTGAAATTGCCGAGAAATTCACTGAGAGATTTAAAGTAGTGCAAAGCCTCAAGCAAGCAGTGGAAGAATCATACAACAGATCCCACACTTACTTTGGACAATGGGAGTGTTGTCAAATAGAGTATCGTCCTAGTAACCTTGAATATGATGCAAGATTCCGTCAAAGGGTAGACGTCCAAAGGGCTTGCGTTAAGATTTCAGGAACTGCCTCAAAGAAGCGTCGATACTTGGACGAACTGGTTGTGAGCAAAATGAAGCAAATCTCTAATGACTTTCCCTTTATAAAATGGCAATTCTTTGGTTCAGCGGAAGGCATGTTGACTCTGTTTCCAGCGTTTGGGGATAAAGCGTCGTGTTCTGGATATGATCCTCGATTGAGGCCATGGTACGTTGAAACTGCAATACCAGAACCAAAGGATGTTGTGCTAGTTGTAGACACAAGCGGTTCAATAGGAACCAACCTCATGAACATCACCAAAGAAGCTGCAAAGATACTTTTTTCCACAATGAACCCTAGAGACCGAGTAAGTTTTAGTATGTAGAAATCGTGTTATGGGGAATCCTGAAAGGATCCCTGAAAACTCGTATACCTAATAATTTGAAGAAAATAATAAATGAAATCGTTGACTGGCCGGAGGAATATATGGCCAACCTAAAATGGTTTTAAGTTCCAAAGGACGACAAAAAATATTTCATGTGTAATTATGCAAATAGCAGTTACTGTGCAACCTAATGAGTCGGGAAATGGACCTGTAACTAGTTGAATTCATGATGAAAAGTAAATCGTAATTGGATAAAAGGGTGAAGAGTTTAAAAGGTTAACACCCTAACATCTCGCACTCTGCAAAAATTTTTATATCACTTTCCCTGCTAAGGGGAGCCGTTTCGGCCGCCGGCAACGTTGGTCTGACTTTCATGTATTCACAAACGTTAACGTTGGCATTTTGAGAGTTGACCGTATATAGTCAAATCTCCCTCGTGATGGCCAAAGTATTGGCTGAAACTTTGATCGGGATTCTACTTTTCATCTAACGCTTGTTGCATGTACTTCAATTTAGATTGGAGTAGTTTCTTTTGGTACGGTCGCCTCAACGCCAGGAAAATTTGGCAAGAACTGCTTCAGTGAACGCTTAGCGGATGCAACTCCCTTAAACCTAAGATATTTGGAAGGCTATCTAGAAAGTCTTAAAGCCCAAGGTAAGCACATATTATTAAATAGTTAATTCATGTCTGTAATATATACTTATAGGTATAAATACGGGGGGTGCTCTGATATCAGACCCTCTCTCTGGTTGTAAGTGGTAATTTTTTTCCTCTAATCGTACTCGCTTAATGGGTCCATATTACTTCCATGTACTTCCACTAACGTTAGTGATAATTCTACTTTTACTGCTTCATATCACTAATAGGCTAATGCTACTCATTTTTTCTCCCAACCTTTTCGTAAGGGCCTTGCTTTCTCTGTCCCTCCTTGCTGTCTGCCTGCCTTTTTCGTTCCTTCTTTACTACTAACCGAGTCGGATGCGCCGATTGGCTGCTGTTGATCTGCGATTTAGTTGAAGATCACAATTTCTTATTTTTGCTACCTTTTTTAGGAGTAACCAATTATGCAAAAGCTTTCAGTGCTGCTTTCCGTTTGCTTAAAAACTCCTATGATGGTCCAGACAGTACCAGGAAATTGATGATTTTTTTTTTAACGGACGGCTTGCCTAGCGACGACAAGGCAAATATAATGCGAACAATTAAGGAAAGCAATGCCGAACTGCACAATAAGGTAGTGATCATGACATACGGGATGCTGTTCGCTAAGAAGATACTCCTCGACATTGCAAACCAAGATGGCACCTCCTATGGAGTCGACAAGACACAAAATGCGATGGTCAGTAAATCTAAGCACCACATTAGCAGTTTAAACAATATCAGAAATGTAAAGAATGTTCGTCCGAACATAACTTGATTATCACACTACTGTTTTCACATATATACACCCGCTTTCAAAAACGTTGCAATTTGAAAATATATTTTTTTATATAGATATTTTATATTTTCTCATTAAAAGGTGATGAACAGTGCATGTGCGTTTCACATCAAAGGAACAATTATAACTTTTTGTGATCGTTTGACAGTCGCTGTGCATGTTAACGTTGTCTTACATCAGCCGTCCATGACCGGAAATCCTCAATATTGAATTTTTGAACGTACATTTGTGTTGGGGATCGCAAAAGGCTCTGTAATATTCTAATGATCCTTTCCCCTCATTAGTAGTTCACTGGCAGTCAGTTTTCTCTAGTGCTCCCTCTATAATCTGTTGGGGACGGATGATCCCCCTCCATTCTCCCTAGAAAACCATGAGACCCCCACAGTTCTACCCCCCTCCCCCTCTTCATGCGATGACTGGTCCTTAATCATAATTCTTCCTTTAGGCTGGAAATTTTACTAGTATCGATGACACAACGAATCTAAGGAACACCATGGGAAAGTATTACGACTTCTTCTTCAAAAGTGGAGCCAGTTACAGACCCATTATTTCGGTTCCTTACATAGACGCTTTTGGAACTGGTACGCTCACTATAAAATTTATACCATTTACCGTCATAAGCAGTTTTAATAGCTCTGAATTTTTTAAACTGAGAGATGGCTTGACCACATCATACGTGATAAGATATGAGACCGGTTAGCGTCCAGAAGCCCTCAAAAAACCATCTGCTGAAATATTCAACAATCCTTATAAATTAGTAAATATGTATAATCATCTGCTCACTGCGGACAATTTTGCAACTTTAGGGTCTATTATCATTAACTTTACCGTGATAAAATCAACCTGCCTGCACTGAAAGACCTCCCTGAAAGCCATTGAACCAGATTGATAATTATCTGATTACTGCGGGACCACTATGCAACTTTTGGGCGAATTGGGGAGTAAACTCCACCGTTGTGAGAGCCCGGCACAAGCTTGAAAAACCAACTTAGGGTCATTAAACAGGCAGAAAATTATATTTACCTATAGACTTTAAGACGGAATCCACCTTGTTCGTCTAAATAAATAGCGTTTTTGTTTTTTTCGCCGAAGGGCTCTTAACTACAGTTGCACTACCTGTGTATCACGAGAACAAGTTCATCGGTGTGGTGGGTACAGACGTCAGCATGGAAGATATTCAGTACCAAATTAACTACCTCCAAAGAGGACAAGCAAGTTATGCTTTTATGGCAAATAGTTTTGGAAGGGCCATGTTACATCCCCTTCTTCCAGCCCCCTTAGGCGCCTTTGAGGACCCCATTTTCATAGACATAGCTGACTTGGAACCAGAGCCGCAGTTTCGTGACATTGTTAAATCTATCATGCGGTTTGTATCTACGCCATTTCTCTTTGTAACTACCCCTCTGTAATAGCTACAAGTTTTTTTCATCGCTGCGAGAAATACGAGTTTTATTTATCAATGTGAAATTTACTTCTTGAAGATATCTTTGAGAGGATATAGAAAGGCTTCAAGATCTCTTATCTTGCTTAGCGTAGAAACATTTCGTGGATAAACGTCGATTAGCTGGAGGCACAAAAAGGAGTCTTTTCATGCAAAAGACAAGAAAGCGTTACTTAGTTTTTTTTATTTTTTGAGAAAGTTTGTTATATTATTAAAAATGATCTGAGTTGCGATTTTGGTTTTCAAAGGGGTGGTGACGGAAACAAAACTTTTGTGTCAAAACAATTTCTGGCGCGTGGAGGTAAAGTTGCAGAGGGAGTCAGAGTTGTAGAGTTGTATTCAACCTACTACTGGAAATCAATTCCGGAAACCAGTTTTACTGTTGGAATTGTAGTTCCTGTCGGTGACAGCGAAGGAACCTTGGTCAACCAAACAATCTCCCCAGGTAAGGAATGTATCTAAGAGGGTCTCAAAGGGGATAACCGTCCACCGTCAAAGGACCAAAATATTAACCGTCAACCGTCAACCGTCGAAAACGCAACATTTTTACCGTCACCCTTCAAATAAACAAGCCAATGTTAGCCGTCAAATGTCTCAGATATCCTTAATTAAGAACTAAACGATTGCCTTAATTGGGATCAAGTTCTATTGTTTATAAATCAAAATTTTGATATCTCATAAAAGTACATTTTATCACGAAACCCGCGTGTCTCTACTAAAACGGGACCGAAACTCTGCGTGACGTCGCGCTGGTTTGCTGACGAGATTGACGGGAGATAAAAATATACCGAAAATCTGTGTTCGGATTTTAACACGATGGAAATGAAGGCGAGAAGGACCAGGAGAGAAACTGACCTTGCCTATAACCTTAGTGCTATTTGATCTGACCTCATTTGATTGGCTTAAGATCTGTGATTGACAACGCTCCGCCTTGCCCCATGCAAAGGCACACCTAAATAGTTAACTCTATATATGACGGGCCTCGAGATAAAAACACATTACACTTATGTCACAATGTTGGCCTTTATGTAAATCCTTTAATTTCTTGTCGCGAGTAAAACTGGTTAGCGTCAGAACTGACTTCCGGTGTGGAAACATTTCGGGTGTCGTAAAACGTTAGTCATTTATTAATAAAAGGTGTTACATATAAACATTTCTTTACAAACGCGTCATTATGAGAAGTTACAGCCAAATTCGCGTTTTCAGTTCGTGTTATAAACGACATTTCAAAAAATTAAGCGTCAATCGTCAAATGACCTAGAATTTAACCGTCAACGGTCAAAAGGACTTATTTTTTAACTGTCAACCGTCAAAGTGAACCCCTCCCTCCCCCCCTTGAGACCCTCATAAAGAAATTTTATTTTGTGTTGTCATTTCAGTAGTACTACGTTATGAGACAGGATAAAGTAAAACTCAGAAATTTTTGAGGTGCGAGACGAAAAGGACAAGAACTATGACAAGGACGACGACGAAGACGGCATCGACGATTGCCATCTTACTCTGAAAGATAACTAGCACTTTCTTGACAAAATCAAGTTGTTGTTTCGGCGATGAGATAAATTTATTTTGGGTGAACTATAAATCCTTGAAGTTAAAAATTTCTGAAGTTCCCTTTGGTTTACGCGAAGTATTTCCTCCAAAAGAAGTTATACGGGGACAACGAGTCCGTGATAACAACCATAAACCTCTACTGCTGCTTGGAATCAAAGCAAAAATTGTACTTTTATGTCCCTGAACGAATTGTCTTAACCCTTTTTTCGTCAGCTGCAAAGTTTGTTTACCATCGTTTGGACCTTGTCAAACTTGGAGAGCCCTGTGTCCATTTCACAAGATATGCTTCCAAAGGTATTTCAGTGACATCAACGCTTAAAAAGGCTACACAAAAGCAGTCCGGTAACTTTTACAATTTTTAAATTGTAATCATGGAAAATTAATTCCCAAGTGAGAATTGCGCGTGGAGTGTTATCTTGCTCTTTGGAATTATTAAGAAGAATTCACCCACTTTCCAGCTGGAAGTGAGGAACGATAGGCGGTACTAATAAGGTACTGAGAGAAGGTTACTCCACCATACTCGACCACGAGGGGAATTTCCACAACGTGGTAGAACATTTGGAAAAATTTAGGAAACTTGTCAGGATAAGCTGCTTCTCTTTTGGTCTGGCACCCTCTACTGACATGCTGTCTCAGTCTTCATAACCATCCTTGGTTTTAGATAAAATATTTAAAAAATAAGGTTTGTTTTTCTCCTCTCATGCTACTCCTCAGACGCAGTTGTGAAATTCAGTGCTGAAGCCTTTACAGATCCATACAACTACCTTGGTTCGAGTGAGACTGCGTCTACTGTAGCTGCGTACCAGAAGTTTCTTAAACAAACAAATGCACGTAACCCTGGATTTAAGCTTGGCATACGGGACACAGTTAGAGCTACACGAATGGTCGAAGATATCTGGATTCAAGGGTCAGAAGGTTACATGAGATACCTGGTTCGACAATACATTGGAACAAAAAATGGCGTATTTTTACTAAGACCTGGAACCTTGCTAGCGAAGTCATTTGATCCAACCAAACGTCCATGGTAATGATATTTCTTTGCTAGTGAAAACTCTTAGGATTTTCTTTCGTGAGTTTCCCTGTATGAGCGAGGTGAATAGGTATATGCAAAGCCACCAGTTCGAGCAAACTACTCAACGGTTGATGAATGCACTGCATATGTTAGTAAACTGTAAAATGTAAACTCCATAGAATACCCTTTCTCTCGCACAATTGGTCTACACGCACCCATTGACCTATATGTTCCAGCGTTCAAACCCTGCGTTTAATGAGCTGAAACAGATGCATTCTTATCGAAAGTCATCTAATAAAGTTCAATCCAAGGTGGGATAACGTTTTGATGTCAGTGAGGACAAGCGATAGTTCCAGCTTTGACTTGTGCTCAGTGCACGCCTCACATTAGTGTCGCTAAGTCTCCACAATAATGAACATACCTCATAAGAATAGTATCAATCATTCACAGGTACAACTCAGCTATAAGTAACAAAGGATTAATTACCTTAACAACCCCGTTTATGGACGCTGATGGAGCAGGACCAGTTATAAGTGTGGTTCACAGCCTTTATTTTGGAAAACGAAACAACACCAACGATCATGTCTTTGGAGTCACTGGAGCTGACATTCCACTTTCCTACTTCACGAGGTAGCCGTTTTGAAAACGAGCTCTCTGTTATTTAGAAGCAATTGCAAATGAGCGAGTGAGGGTGAATGCGTGTAAGTGCGTGAGTGCTTGAATTCCCGCGTGAATTAATTTGTGTGCGAGTGAGTGAGAGTCTTAGACTTACCAGCTTAAAAAAGAGAGATTTACTCGAACCATATGCTTGCTCAGATTTAAGTAATCAAAATTTTGCATTTTACAGACTCTTGAGAGATGGCTATCCCGAGTGCAAAAGCGGCAACCATACTTGCTTTTTGCTGGATGCAGCTGGTTTTCTTATCCTTTACGATGATTTTCTATTTCCTAATGCGTCTGCAAAAACAGTGGAGTATGTTCATATCACCGAGAAAGATAAAGACTTGGCCGAAGATCTCATAAACAGGAGATTTATGAAGAGAAAGAAGTGTCGAGATTTAAGAAAGCTGAAACTGGAACTATTTTATGAATTTCAGCTGCCGAGTCAGGGTGCAAACACATTATTTAACGGAAAACGTTGTAGAAGGTACCAACTTTCCCAGTTAGACGGAAGCAATATCATTTTAGGTAAGCTGAACTTCGAATTCTGAATAACAAAAGGTTTTTTTCTTTTTTTTTCCTCGCAACTTTGTGATCGTACCGCGAGACACATTTTAAAATAAAGTTTCAATATGATTGTAATGTCAAATGCAACTGGGATGTTTCGCTATCACAAATCACTCGCTGATAGGTACTTAGGATAGTGGGGGCAATAAATTCTATATGAAGTTGCAATGAATAGGCCATTTTCTATGTACCAAAATTCAAACTTGGCTCCGAGGCTTGGGGGAATAAAACAAAAGAAATTACATTGAGGTTGAGGGCTAAATAATTAATTTCTTTTGTTTTATGCTCCCTAGCCTTGGAGCCATGTTAGAATTTTAATATATCGAAAATGGCCCATTCAATAAATATTTCTAGGTATCAAATTGCGAGAAAGAAACTGCCCGACGAAGCCTTGCACCTGCTCTGGCGATGGAATGTGCTCCAGAAAAACTGAGTTGACTTGCCAGTGCCCATGTTCTTCAGAACTTAGCTACGATCATTGTAGAAACGCATTTCTCTCCAATAGGTAAGAAGGTACTCAAAGCGTTCATTTACATAAGATAAGGTTGTATGTGACAATTTTTATAAGAATTTAACTGGGCGGGAGGTCTGTATTAGAAATAAAACTGTGAGTTGTCTTTGATCGTATTATGGGATGCCACCAATGACCACCTCACTGGCAGAATTGAGCCGTTAAAAAATCGTGCTGCACTTGCTATAAGAGGTGCTGACTATTAGTCACCTGCGATGGGATTATTGTGTAATCCCGGCTGTTCCTATCTGAAATTGAGGAAACAAACAAAGAGCTCTCGTGTGATTGTTTGTCTTATAATTTTGGATAAAGCGATCCTTTTTATGGGCTAGTTCTTGTAACTGTTGCCACCTTATTTTTAAAAATGTCTTTTTAAAGTAACCTGTAGAGATTCTCGCTCGCTCATTGGTCAAGAAATATTGTGAATAAGGTTCTAAACGATAAAAGTGACGTAACATGTAACGCAACGCCCAGCAGTACTCGCTACGGCCGGAGAAAAAAATATTTCTCGTAAAAATTTTGCAGTGAAACCATTTGGCTGCGCTCAGTGGTTTCACATTAGCTTCGAACATTGTTCGCGTCATTTCCATGATTAATGTAGTTCTTCTTCAAAACTTCCTCCAAGTATACCGAAAAGTCATCTCACCATATCTGAGAAGTTTGGAATTTGCTAATTCGAGAAAAATTTCTTCCCTGCATTGCGAGGATTGCTGAGCCTTGCGTCACGTGATACGCCTTTTTTCATCGCCTGTAACCTTATTGACAACAGTTCTCGACCAATGAGCATGCTAGAATTTCTAAAGATTTTGTATAACTGTTAAATCGTTGATCGCCTCGTAGATTTCCTCTTTGTCCCCCGTCAAGAGGTATTTTGTCCACCGAAAACGTTACCGATCTGCCTACAACAGGATTACCAAAGTGTTTTAATCCACGTTGCGTCACTTATCCGGACTGGGAATCCTGTGTCGGGGTCGCAGGTTGCTACTGGTGTGTACGCGACAAAAGAAGCAAACCTCTTACAACCAAATATTGCGCTGACAGAAGTGTTTGCTACGGCGGCATGGAGGGTATGCGTCCGTTTATTCTTTGATATGAGTTAAAAATAAGAAACTTAGGTAAGATCACAGCTTTGACATTGAAAATATACCCATGGTAATTACAAAAGAGCAGCTCATGAGAAAACAAATGAAGGATACAGTTATAAGTTTCTACTTATCTAGCCAAGGTTGGTGTCAAGTGTGGTTGTAGAAAAGGAAATTGAAATTATGAGTATAAACTCAGCTACCAACTGTTATGAGAATCAATTTGAATTAGGCCGAAGGATCACTATCACTTATGTTTACCAAAAATTCCACTGATAACGAACAATAAAAGTACCGAGATGTAGCTGCACAATACAAAATCCATTTCCGAAAACCAATGTGGCTTTTTTTATATTTTCAAAACATCACAATGAAAATACTCGTATGATTTGAGAACGCTAAAATGCCGAAAACAACGAATAAAAATGCCTGAACAACGACAAGCGAAAATCAGTAAATTTTCCCTTGACAGTATGTAACTCAGGGGCGCAGCTAAGGGAAGGTCCTCGGATGTCCATAAAGCCCCACCCCCCCCCCCTTCCTTGGTGTTTTATTTTCAGTTAGATAACACATAAAGCTAACAATTTAGGAGGTGAAAAAGGGCGAAACCGAGAAATCTACTCAGCTTAAAAAATTTCAATTTAGGCAGAATAAAGTGTGGACGTTTAAATTACGGAAGGGTTGATCGTGTGGCTGCGTCACAGTTTGACTCCCCGCCCCGCCTCTCCGTGCTGCGCTTTTGCAAAAAAATAAACTACCTTTGAAAGTGTTTTCGCTTTAAGAACTTATGAGAAATGGGAAGCCACTCTGTTCACTTAAGTCTGCATTTTTTCGGAAAAAACTTAACTAATCAAGTTAGCCGATGAGAATGGGCAAGGTATCCTACACTTGTGTTATACAGTTTTCACATTACTTCCGTCTGAATCACTTTAATTTACAGTTTCAGTCGTAGATTCAATAGACTATCCAAAGAAGAACCACAATAAAACAAACGACGATAGGAAAGGACTGCCGAAAGGAGCTATTGCAGGCATTGTTGTCGGATGCCTATTTCTGTTCATTAGCATCATTGGTTGTGTAATTTTCTATCACAAGTATTGCCATTATTATGCTATTGGAGACTCGCCTGATGTTCAGCTCGAGCCTTCTGCACCTCCATGCGACAAGCTGTTCTCGTAGTTGAATATAATCGACATATAGGCTTCCATTTTGGTAGATCCCTGTGAGAAAGGTGGTGTTTAACAATTGGTTCATGCTTTAGCACGCACTATCGAATTATGGAGCACGCGGGAAGTTTGGAGAGCACGGTACGAAAGAAGCGTAAGAGTTGCCCGAGGCGATAGCCGAGGGCAACTCTAGCTTCTTTCGTGCTCTCCATACTTCCCACGTGCTCCATAACTCGATAGTGCACAGCTGAAAGCATGAACTAATTGTTTTAGAACATAGCCAGTGGAATTGTGCATCAAATCCGACGCGAAAAACGGACAACACTATCAGTTAAAGCAAATCGTGATGGCGCTGATGCCGAGTATGCTTTTCCTTTGTTTTTCTCTTTTTCTGCCTCATTTAAGAACTCTAGCCCAAGGGAAAAGGTCCAAACATTGTCTTCGTTTTCGGACTAGTAGGTCGAGTGTCTGTTTGTATCCATTATTGTCGCGAAATATATTATTTTTCCCCGCGCTAACAATGGCCGCTCGCGCGAAAAAAAAAAATTTCTGGCGAAGT